TAAATATTTTTATCGAGATTATTATCAATGTCTCATTTACTCGCACTTCATAATGACTGACAACCACTTGACGTGCATTTAGTGCCCGACGGACAGCAATGGACGCCATCCTTACAGCACACGGCGTCCAATAGTGGACAACAGCCCCACTTCGAGGCACTTGTGTGACAACAAGTGTTGTTATCGGGACACACATACCGACCGCCCGGACAGACAACTCTCGTTACATTCATGGCTTCGAAACCAATTAAACGCATTCTCTCTTTCGGTGTATTTGTCGAGTCGTTGGAATCGATGAGTCTATTCGTCTGACGAACGCACTCCTTGTGGATCAGATCACATCGCGTCCCGTGAGGACAGCAGTGGAGTAAATCACTGCAACACACGCCTGACATATAGAGAGGACACACAGTATAACAATTATAAATTTAGCACAAGTTATTAAATTAAAATCCAAGACCTGAATCGTATGGACAGCAGCCATAACCGCCGCCCTTCTCCTTACAACAGGTCTGGTCTGAGAGACAGGTCTGATTCCTATCGGGACAGATGCCCGCAGACTCGGAGTTAATTTGTGGCAACAGATTCAGAGCGATTCGTTTGGTTTGCTCTGTAAGTGCATCACAAGTGCCCTCTTTGTCGTTACATTTGGTCCCATTTGGACAACAATGCAGACCATCGGCGCAACACTGAGCTGTGTTTTGGCCAACAAATCAATCATATTTAATGTTTTTATCACTGATTGTCTCAACGAACAAACCTGAGGCCAGTGGACAGCAGCCATAGTTGCCTGAAGACCATTTACAACATGTCATATCTGTAAACAATCAATGTAATCATGAGTGAAATGCTTGTCTATTGTCTTGTATTGTCAAACCATCGCCGCATTGTGTGTGTTGGTCGGGACACAGCGCTGATTGTGACACCGCTATCATCGACAACAGCCATATCGACCACAATGTCATACATGGCCTACAATTCATGGCAAATGCAAATCAATTGATTGTTTGATGAGATAATGAGTGATATGTGAGAAGTGCTGAGTTATTGTCATTGAATGGATGTGTGAATGAGATTCAAATGTTTATTCAAATGCAGTGACAGTCGCAGACTCACAGACTCGCTGTGATTACCATATCTGACACACATATCCCATACAAATACATGTATGAGATTCCTATGCTATTCAATACAAGTGCTATTTATACAGAATATTTGTAATGAATTTAACATTTGAACAACTTTTTTATGAAACAATAATTGTTTTACTTTTAAATTGGACTTTAGATAAAAGCCATTAACAAACTCAAACAATTTGCATAACATTTATAACATACAAATATTTGAATCTATTTGGTATTTGTATTCATACTTATAATCAAATTTATTTCAACATTGTTAAATACAATGTTTACATTTAATTTAATTTTGTGGTTAAACACAAGTCATATAGTTAATCAAATAATTGTGCTTACTATAATTAACAATTTTATGTTTAATTTTAAAATAATCATTGTTTAATTATTATTTTATGATATTACGTTATAATT